ATTACTGGGAAAATATTTGTTCAGATTCATGTTTAAATTTGCCAGACATCCAAAGAAGTATTAGAATAACCAGTTCGATTTGCTGAATGCTTCACTGCCTGTAACAGTGAATTAAATTCATTTAGAAATCTAGTAGTTACACATACTTTCTTTTACGTTTTTCGCAAAGTATATATTGATTACGAATTGGCAATGTATGCATATTTCAATAGAGAAAAAAAGCTAGAGGTTACCAAATTTGATGATTAAAAGGTTCTGTTTTTTTCCATCAAAAATACAAAAAAAAAAGCCTTCCTTTTAAACCATATATATATATTAAATTTTTTGTGTAAAAACAGTGACTTGTTTTAAAACTAGTATTTCCTTCACCCTCCCCCCTCATATTAAGTTCATTATGTTGAATTTTCCTCCTTTTGATTCAATGAATTTTGATTTTACATACTCACCAAAATTATGTGTACCTTCATTTTCCTTTCAAGTTATCTTCTTGGAATTATTTTACATTTGATAAATTTATGCTTGTTCCTTTATTTACTTAAATTCGACGAGTTGGAACTTCATTATTTTGCAGATCCAAAATTATAACTATTTGAAGCAACACTTTCTCTCAGACTATATGAATTCTGAATAAAAATAGGTTATGATTTTTTTTATGAGAAGGTTTTTATTCTAGTTTACGTATTTTTCCATCTTAAATTTTGTTATTTTGATTGATAGATTTTTGCTGATGTGAACAAATTTCATTGAATCTTAAAAAATTTATATATGTCTTTGATTAGAACTTTTGAGGTAGAAAGATTTTTAGACCTTCTTCTGCTTTTTTTTTTTCAAAAGGGGGAGTTTTAAAATTATCTTAATTCTTTTATCATTTTAAAATTCAAAATTGACTGAAAGTGAAATATCTACTTACTCTGGAAACCTAAAGTGCTCCAATATGAGTTTTATAGAAATAACTATTTCTTACTTTTCATATTTGAGAATTTATATTATTTTTTTAAAATGATGATTTATTATTAAATTAATGATAATTATTGTAATTATTACTATTGTAATTTTATTTACATATTAAAGTTTCTTTTATACCTGTTTTTAAAAAAATTGTATTTAGTATTGTAAATTAATTCTTTTGTAAAATTTGGATGTTTATATTTTATTAGATTACAAGCTATTTAATCTGGGAAGCATTATTCTTCTAGCTTCTTTTATTACTCTATATCATTTCTACATTAAAAATATTGTGAGTTATATATTAAAGTGAGATCGAAGGACCTATTGGCAGAAGAATAAAGAAAGTATGTGCTGACTTTTGTAACAAAAATAAAAAAAACTTGATTTGGAAAAAATAAACATTAAACTTGTACCATTGGCTTGTTTAAGAAATATAAAGTTTTTTTCTAAGATATTGCTAAAAAAATTAGATTAGCTAAAATTTTTTAGTTTTAAGTTTTCCATCTTAATTAATCTGAAATACAGACCATTTTTACTATAATTCACCACAAAAATGTTTGGAAGGTAGATTTTTCAGAATCTTTCTTAACCCTCTTGATATGTGGAAATGTAATATTTTTGATATTTTAAATCGCAGTGCAGACAAAAATAAAGAAGCAAAAATTATTGGAATTGCATGAATTTTGTGGACAAATTGTTTTAAAACTCTTCAAATGGCCAAGCAGAAGAATTCGATTCTCTTCGGTTACATTTAAAGTTCTAAAATGTTTATTCATAAATAATCTTGCAAGGAAATGTCCCGGAATACATCTGGATCAGTCGAATAATGCTTTGAAAACTCACAGCTCAGCGTTGGAATTTATCATTATTAATTTAGTAAATTCATGCGACGTCACAATCACATGACGAAAGTAACTATACATTTCATATACAGTAGAACACCGCTAATCCGAACCCCTCTAATCCGAGATTCCAGTTAATCCGAACCGATTTTATTTTCAAAAATTTTATGTAATTGAAAAGATTTAAATATGCATACTAAAAACAAAAAAGTACTTTTTCAGCATGCATAATTTTGTACACATTGAAGAAACTAATGCAATTCGCCTTAAGATAAAGTCACTTCATACAGGAGCACATCCATTATTCTAATGAAAAGGAGAGACATATTCTCTTTCTATTGATTTTGAATAAAAGAATTCAAGAGATAGTAGTACTGAGTACTTATAACTTATATTTTTTCTAGCACGCATCTTTTCTTTTTTATTTTTATCGGAATTTCGGGTAATCAGAATTTTTTGTAATCCGAACAGGCACTGGTCCCAATTAGTTCGGATTAGCGGGGTTCTACTGTAATATGCTCACTGGCTATTTTTTAAATCTTTTTCTCTTACAAAATGTACAATGAATTCTAAAATTAAATTGGCTCTGCTCAATGGATGTGTATTGCATCAGCATGAATTGACTCTTTTGGCCACTTGGAGAGTTCACTGTAATTGCAATGTGTCTGTAAGATCCCCTTCCCTAAGGCAAATGGAATAAATATAAAATCTGTTTCGCTTAGCATGCCATCATGTTTGAGAATTTGAAAGGTCTCTTTTTTTTGTATAATTTTTATGGTTTGATTCTTGACATTTACAAGTTTTTTTGTGCATTTCGATACTGAGTTGAAAGTAACTTTTTAAAAAATTCTATCCCCATTTAACAAACGACAATCATCTGTGCTACAAAAACGAAATCAATGTAGTGAGTGCTGTGTAAAATAATCTGTTCTGGTTTTGAAATGCAAGACCATTTACATCCTGGCATTTTAACAAACCAGTTGTAAAAAGTATTGTTCATATAGCACTCTGTGTAAGTATTCATTTTTTGCAATGAGAATAAAAACAGATTAATTTTGTACCTTGTGTTTGTGATCTTCTTACTTTGTACAAAAACGCATGTGCACACAATAGGCAGTTTTAAATAAGTGCTAAATGGATACACCATTTAGCACCTAGTTCACTCTTAGAAATAATATGATTATGTTAAAATATTTACCGTGTATTGCTAAAAAAAATATTTAAAAAACTACCGAAATATATCAGAATTCTGAAATTTGTTTATGTTACTGTAGTTTATATTTTTTTAAACACTTTTATTTAACTTGATTTGTTTGATATTTATAAAGAAGGGAAATTTCGTAAGCAATTTTTCATTAATTCCTGACCTGCTAGAATTTTGAAATTTTGTACACTTATGTATTCTCAATGATGGTTTAATATTTTCAGAACTTAATTGTAAATTGATTGATTAAATTAAATTTTGTTTCCATATACGCGTGGCGCCATATAATGGTGAATTTGAAAAAAAAGTTTTCCAGAATTCCATAGTATTTGTGATAAGTTTATATACTTTAAACACTTTTATTTAACTTGATTTGTTTGATATTTATAAAGAAGGGAAATTTCGTAAGCAATTTTTCATTAATTCCTGACCTGCTAGAATTTTGAAATTTTGTACACTTATGTATTCTCGATGATGGTTTAATATTTTCAGAACTTAATTGCAAGTTGATTGATTAAATTAAATTTTGATTCCATATACGCGTGGCGCCATATAATAATGAATTTGAAAAAAATGGATTTCAGGATTCCATAGTATTTGTAATAATGATTTTTAAATTAATTCGTCTTTTATATATATAGAAAACTAAAAGATAAAAACTAATTAAAATAAAAAAAATTAGTACGCTAATAGAAGTGATTTTTAAAAAAAACTAATTTTATTAAATTTGTTACTTTGATGAGTTGCACATTTTTCGAGAGATTATGTAGTAGAAACTGAATTGAACTGTATTGTATATTGAATTGGGGTGTAATAATTTTCTTAGTTATCTATGAATATTTTTAGTATCTTAGAATATTCATAGTCTCATTCTAACAAGGGGCAGGAGTTACCCCCTCCCAGAATGAACATAATATTTTAATTTCTTTTCTAATATGCACGCATGATTATATAAGTCTTATTCATGCTTCTGTCTTACATTTTCGTATGCTCAGAAAAACCATTGAAATCATCATGAGATTCACTCTCGATATTTAGAATTATGCCAATGTGTAAATAGTGACGAAACCTAAGAAAAGTAACCATCTAGATAGATGAAATTTGGTCCGTGTTCCTTCCGCTAATACTTGCATAATTTTCCACCAAACTCATCAAAGGGATGGTATACCTTTCGTATTATTAATATGCTTGTTGTTATTCCATCCCATAATGATATTAAAGTATTTGTGTGTACATTAACTTGATTTAATTAAAATTTAAGGATTTTTTTTAATATAAATTGAGAAAACCATGGAAAATTTAGCACAGAATGGAACTGATACTGTTAAAAAGTTTTTAGTAAAGTAAAGAAAAGAATTTTAAGGCGATATACAAATAATGTTCATTAGATAACATATTCCGAAATAATATATGGAAACAACGTAATTATGAATTGAATAACCACTACGGATTTAATTTATATGCATTAAAGATTTTAATTTCTCCCTTGTCATAATAAGATGCGAAGATACTATACAATGTATAGTCGCCTTTTAATCAATCTTGAAAATATGATGAACTGATTTTTTCCTCATTTCCAATGTCGTCATCTTTGTCAGGAGAAGTATAAAAATCAAGAATACACATTTCAGCTATAATTAAATTCAAGACATCTTCAAAAGAAATCCTTCAGTAAAACATTTCCCAACATTTTCGTCTACTATAACTGATATACAAACATGCCTTTTATCTACTATAGCTTGATTGTCCTGAAAAAAGAATAAAGCAAAAAGAATATTTCCTTTTAAAAAAAATGGAAAAATCGTCTCCCAAAACACCGGATCAAAACAAGGGCCTTTAAATCTTCAGTCTAACGCTATCCCACATCAGCTATTTCGGAAAGTGAGGTCTAGATATATGAACAGAATTCCGGAAATTTAAAGTTTCCCTAGAACAATTACACATTTCCAGAAAACATGTCGCCGACATGACAAACAAATCTCTTCCTGGAAGAAATTCAAATGATCTGCCGAAACCCGGAATCGAAGCAGGGCCCTTAAGATTTTAAGTCTAACGCTCTTCCAAATGAGCTATTTCGGTGAGTGAAGTCTAGATATGTGAACAGAATTCCGGAAATTTAAAGTTTCGCAAGGAAAATTATACTTTAAAAAAAGAATCCCACCGAGAAGAGAAACAAATGTCTTTCATGAAGAAATTCAACTGATCTGTCGAAACACGGGATCTAACAAGGGAC